CAAAGCGTTCATGCAAGTTCAGGGTTCAATGAGTCCAACAGAGAGTACAAGCAGAAACGCTCAGATAGAAAAAGGCAGGCCCAGTAGTTGAAAGCCAGAACAAGACACAATACCAGAAAAACTACGGAACTTTAAACTAGCTCCCTCCACTGAGCCAACATAGGAACAGGGCACGCTCAGTGGATGAAAGCCAGGATATGATCAGTAAACACTAAGACAAGACTAAAAACCCTCTCTAACCACTGGCCTCTAAGAACGAGAACATGAACTATGGAAATCAGCCATGATCTCCAACTAAAACTCAAATTCAAACAAATGTTGTCAATGATCTCGCCCCGATAGCTGGGCTGAGCCGTATATAAAGCAGCAGGAGCAAAAGACTAGACTACAATACTGTGTTCCGTATTACACAGCTAATCTAAACCACATAATGAGGTGCAAGTGGCACACCTTTGATTAATGACTACTGCATGTGTATTAATGTCTACTGAAATATATAATGTAGAAGAAAATGTAGCTTCACTAAGAATTGTCTTAATTAATAAGTAAATAAACCTTCATCTTTGCTACTCAATGTTTAGCGAGAGCTCTGACAGACAATCACCCAGGAACATAATCAAATATATATTTTTTGATACTCTCTCACAACATTACTATAGTGCAGAAATGCAAATGTAATCTGAAATTGAGGATCAGTCCCTGAAAACATGAATTCATTATAAAAAATATTGATTCTCACGAAGATACCTGAAACAGCTTAAAGAAAATTTGAAGCTCATCATTAGTGTAGAGCCTTGGGGGACTTCCCTTTAATTTTTTAGAAAGCTGGGCTTCTGTGTTCTACCTGAAAGGTAGTTAACCTTGATCTTGCAAACACATATCAATGAGTCTTAACACCAAAATATTATTCATAGAATTCAAGCATGGGGGTCAATATATCCCTCCTGTGAGGCTTTATTAATGGTGCGTATTTGAACAGTAGCCTTTCTTTTTTAGGCAAAGTCAGGCTTCAACATGTTCTCTTCTGCGGATTATGGTGGAGGAACTGTTCTTTTCTCTGAATCAACGACCAAGTTTGAGGGGGTAGAGTCAGACGACCCAATAAGGTGGATGGGCACCAACTATTACAACGTCATGAAAGCCACGGATTGCACACCTGCAGGTAAGGCAATAAACATGTGAAGATGTAAAAAATCTGAAAAGCACAGAGTATTAAGAGATTGGATTTTATTAATTTAAACATTTGTTTCAAGAAAGTTAAAAAGAATTTATTATCCATAAAAATAAACAAAACAGAACAGCAGCAAATGTGAGGAGAAAAAATAACAACCTATCACTTTTATGTGTTTTTCTACTCAGACATTCCTTCTTCGATTCGATGGTGTGTTTTGTCGAGCGCTGAGCAGCAGAAATGTGGTGATATGGGTAAAGCCTTTGCTGACAAAGGTCTGACCCCCAGCATCCAATGTATTTACGGAGACTCTCTGACTGACTGCATGGCCAAGATCAAAGTAACAGATTTACAATTAAAGATTTAGCTTATTATATTGACAGGAAAATGTTTAACATAATCTCAATTTCACTTTCATTGTGTAGAACAATGACGCTGATGCCATAACCTTGGATGGAGGGTACATTTACACAGCAGGCAAAGACTATGGTCTGGTTCCTGCTGCAGCCGAGAGCTACACAGGTACACAGTCTGAAAAGAACAAATATGATCATGTTTTTTAGAATCATGTTATTGTGTTTGAAAACTCTTAAATTCCTGATTTTCTCTTTTGTAGATGACCATGATGGTTCCACGTACTATGCTGTTGCAGTGGTAAAAAAAAGCAGTTATGACATCCCTAATATTGACAGCTTGCGTGGCCGTCGCTCCTGTCACACTGGCTATGGTCGCACTGCTGGCTGGAATATTCCTGTATCTACCCTGATGGAGAAAGGACTTATTAGCCCCAAAAACTGTCTGATACCCCAAGGTTGGTTTGAGTGTGTGGGAGCCAAGAATGATAGGAAATGACATGTACTCTGTCTTGCTGACAACAGAAAAGAAATATTCAAAACAAAAGCAATGTCTTAAGAAATTATACCCTGCCGGAGCACTTGACCACCTTTAGAAGAAGTTTGTGAATCAAAACATTACAATGTTAAACCCTGTGTGGTGGTTCCAAAAATATGATAATAACTTGTTAAGTTTAAAATTTACAAAAAAAAAAAAAAAAAAAAATAGCTCTGCATAACAAAATCCAATGTAAGGTGAGGTCAAAGAAGGGCGAATCATGCAGAGAATGGAGAGATCTGACCAAAGTATGAAATTAGTCAGAGCAGAGAGAATAATTACAGGACTGACAGATGACTGTAGGAGATGACTGAACAATAAAAGATCACAGGAAAGTGCTGAAGATGTGCCTCCAATGCAGATTTGATGTGTAGTGAGGGAATATGCTGAGCTCTGGAGAGGTCTGTAGAACCTTGAACCCACTTAGACTAATTTTATTGCCATTTTGTACACACTCAGTGTATTCAAAATGAAATTTCATTTTGTACAGCTCTCATGACATTTCCATTCCTTAAAGTGCAGCAGTGATCAAATACAAAGATTTTAAGATCAAATGTAAAGATTCAGTGCTGTGATGTAAAGACGGGACTCTGAGAGTCATGCCTTCAGGTAGCCTGTTGAACCAAACTAAATGTGAGATTACAGTAAATGTGTAATTTAGTCTGGCCCTGATGAATGAGACATCGGAAGATAGTTGATGAGAACAACCCCTTGTTTTTCAAACCATGTCTGTGCCTATTGGCAAACGCTCTGACCAATGAGCTTAACTGACTGTGATGTAGAAAGCTGGTGGGGGAATGTTAACAAACAGCCTGTCGGTAGAACGGCGAATACGTCCTTCTTAAAAGCAAATGAGCGTAGGGCCTATTCCCGCTCACGTTTCAACAAAAACCCAAAGTCTAAACCTTCCAAAACTGATTCCAAAGCTGAGTCAAAATCTGCCGTCAGAGCCAGCGGTCCTTCACACAAGACTATGCCGAGAGAGGCCCGCTGCAGACGGGCTGCGGTTAGCCCTGGCTGCTGTTAGCCTTGGAAGTTTGCTGGTTGCCGCGGTCCTCTGAACAAAAAAGTGTTTTTTTTTAAATTACGCATTAAATCGGTAAATGGACCATATAGTGACGCTTTAAAGTATAATATTCTTGCCTCAAATGATCTTAAAACATACTTTTATTGAACAACAGCAACAGAAAATAGAACTTTTAACTTTCAATGGAGCGCTCTATTGAAAGCTGCTGCTGCCGAAGTGCATGCCACTGTTCAATAGTTGTTGCCATCTTCCTTGTTGTGCTTTCTCCAGCGTTGCGCAACTCTGTAGTCATGCCCTCAAGACCCCGCCTGCTTTGCATCCAAAATTCAAAACACATCTCTGCGTTGTGATTGTCCCTCCAGTTCTAGAGCCTGGGGCATTGATCGAGGCTAGAACAAACTCGCAGGCAAAAATGATTTTGGCCACTGGCAGGTGGGGCTAGTTTACTAGGCTAGCCTTCAGGCTTATTAACCCAACCTTGGGCTAACGATCCCTATCTTTTAGCAAAAACTGACATGTTCTACATTCATCCTCTGTGCATTCCTTAGCAAATACTTAGCATGTTACTTTGGTTGCCTCCCCAATACAATACATAGTGTGCAATATAAATATGTAAAATATTAGGGGATGGGGAAGGACCCAAATAAAGCAATAAAAAATAAATGAAACTAATTAGTCCAATAAGGAGTAGATGGATTAGAGTACACGGATTAAATGAAAAATCTCTGGTGTATATTATCCAGAGGTGTCCTGCTTAACATGACTTTGTATTTTATGACTCCTGTGATGCTTAGCTGTGGGCGAATTCTTCCAAGAGAGTTGTGTTCCCGGTGCCAATCAGGATGGATTCCCCAGTAACCTGTGTGGTCTGTGTGTGGGAGACAGCTCTGGACAGAAGAAATGTGAAAAAGGAATAGATCTGTATGATGGATATGATGGAGCATTCAGGTACTGAATATAATCTCCTTTTGTTTTGCCTCTTCAGAATGGCATGCTTTTCTGTAGTTTTTCTAATTTTGTAGCTGTTTTTAAAAGTTATATTGTGCTCAATATCATACAAAAAAACAAATATAAGCTGTAATTTTAAAGAATGTAAAATTGTTAAAACAGTGGCATTGTTCAATAAGCTTTTAACACAATGTTTGCCAAAAGATTTTTGTCAGTGGAAGAACGAGGGAGCATTAAAAGGATTTCATGAATAAAAAGTGAAAAGTGTATTTAGTCCCACAGTGTCAATAACATACAACCATCTGTCAATCAACCTTTATGGCACTTACTGGTGCAGCTAAACACAAGAAATAAAGCCTCTTCTTGTAGCTCTGACAACATGTTTAAAGTGGACCTTCTGTAGGATGAACCTTTGCCCCATTTTAAAGTCTCAGTGATGCCCTATATTAAGATTAAAGTTCCCATAAATCCTGACCAGTTTTGCTGTTTCTTCTGGAGAAAGTCATTCACACACAATGATCATGCCACCATTCTATTTTTTTTTTTGTGTGTGTGTGTGTTCTTACCTGAGCAGAACAATTCATGTTTGATTCTTTTAAACATTAGCTTTCTTTCCTTCTTCTAATGAAGGCTCCCACCTGAGCTGTGGGTCCCTTTAGTTGATTTAACAATGGATTTATTGATTTTATTGATCTCACAGTGGAGAAATGTAGTTGTTAGTTGTCTTTAAAGGATCACATTTGTGCCATTCTCTCCATTTTTGGCTGATGGGTTAAATAGTGTTATTATTATAATTTAGGATTAGTACTTTGCACCTGCCTTGCACCAGAAAGCTCTCACCTTAACTTGACTAAATATGTTGAACCACAGTAGCAGTTTTCTGTTATTACTTTAAATTGAATTTGTAAGCAATGTAATGTAAACGTGTTGATTATGCATACAAGTGCGTAATTGAGAGTCATCATTTTGTGTAGGAGCATTATTTTTCCAGGAGCAAAAATATGTTTTCTTTTGTTGAAAAATAATTTTATTAAAATAACTAAAAGTTAAAGAAATATGGTAGATTTCAAGATGAGAAAGAAGAGAGAGTTTTAGAGAGTAAGTATAAATTAGACCTTTTGAAACAAATCAAATTATTGAATGTTCTCCTGGGACTTTATCACCAGATTTTCTTCTTCAGTCTGACCTTTGTTATCCCAATGATTCAGTATCTACAGGTCTCAGCATTTATTGAATTGGACGTAAATTTAGAAATAAACAAAAGTAAAGAATATTTCATACAAACTACATGGTTACTCACTGATTTTTAGAATGACTTTGCTCTCATTCTAGTTGTGGAACTTTATATTTAAGAAAAACTGACATGGAGACTTTGCTTCAATATCAAATGTGGATGCTTAAGAGATCTTTTTTTTTTTTTCATTTACTCATTTAGGTGTCTCGCTAGTGGGGATGGAGACGTGGCTTTTGTCAAACATTCCACTGTTTTCCAAAACACAGATGGTACGAGAAGTTCTTTAAAGACATCTTAAAACAGGTCTAACGGATTCAGAAATTAACTTGCCTGGCTGCTGTTTTTTTTTTTTAGGGAATTCAAAGGAAAATTGGGCTATAGATCTTTTGTCCAAAGACTTCCAGCTGCTCTGTTCCAATGGAGCTAAAGCTGAGGTCACAAATTACAAGCTGTGTAACCTGGCCAGAGTTCCCTCTCATGCTGTAATGGTGCGACCAAACACCAACATCCATGCCATCTATGGGCTCCTGGAGCGTGCACAGGTAAGAAAGTTCCAACATTGCATGTATAAAAGTAAACAGAGGTGTCAAAAGTGTTAACGTTTATTACTCAAGTAGAAGTTGAAATCCTACTGGTTAAAAAACACTTTTGTAGAAGTTAGACTATCAACTTCAGCTTTTTACTCAGGTAAAAGTGTAAAAGTACAATTTTTAAAACTTCTTAAAGTATAAAAGTATAAGTAATGCGGGAAAAAAATGGTAAGGACAGATGTTTTACGACACTAGCCTATGAAATGAATTTTTTTCTGTAATTCCTACTTATACTTAATTTTGGTTTCTAATTGCAACAGTGTCAAATTTAACATTACATAATCTTTAAAAACTATTTATTTTGGTATGTAGTGGACGACAAGTTGGTGCAGTACCAAGTCCAACAACAAAGAAATTGATTGTTTGAATGAAACAAATCATTTTTATGGTTTTATTTTCGTTAAGTACCAACAGGACATAATGAAAATGAGCTTAAATAAAACAAAACTGAAAAGTCTATTTCTAAAATTTACGGAGTAGAAAGTAGAGAAAATTGCAAAATAAATGTAAGGAATAGAAGTAAAAAGTAGTCTATTACATAATTGCTCTAGTAAAGTACAGATAGCCAAAATTAAGGTAACAAGGTATTTGTAATTTGTTACTTGACACCTCTGAATGCAAATAGGGTAAAATAATATAAATAAATAATAATCTGAAGGAAGAAGGTCAAAATGTTATTTAAGTTTAGTACAATGCTAAAGATTTACGATAGAAAATAATACATTTCAAATGGCTAATTGCTTCTTTAAAAATGTTATTTGACATCAGCATATGTCAGTCACATCACTGATGGAAAAATGTGTGTCCAAAGACAGATTCTAATAAGAAACTTAACTTTGGCAGTCATGCTGCCTTTTCTCCAGTTTTTATAAAATGTCTTCATTTTCTGCAGACCTACTTCAGCAGTGACACAGGTACCGTTTTCAAGATGTTTGATTCTAAGGAGTACCAAGGCACAGACCTCATTTTCAAAGACTCCACTGTTCGCATTGTGGGTGTTGGTGACAAAAAGACCTACCAGGAATGGCTGGGTAATGGCTACCTGAACTCCCTGGTTGACATGGAGTGCAACTCTTCAAGTGCAGGTAAAATTATTTGGCTTTCCGAAAGAAATATTTTATAATCTGAGAGATTAACTTTTTTTTTAATATATATAATTTGAAAAGTATCTGTCTGTATAAATTGGCTTTAGATAAAGATCATAATTGTATTTAAATTAGATTATGCTTACTTCACCATTACAAAATAAAGCTTATGACACTACAAAAAGATTCAATATAATGTGTTCAGAAATAAACATTAAATTGATTGCAGTCAAAAACAGAGATTTTAAGTTGATTTCATAGAATCCCTTTCAATCCACACCTTAGCAACTGCTTTGAGTGACTAACTTTAATGCAATTAATCCTCATAAGCTATATTTGGAGTGGAGTTTGCAATGGAGAGTTGACTCCTTAGAGATACAAACTTATCATATACTGAGAATAAAATTTGGAAGATGAGCATCCTTAACTAAAATATTACAGGTTAGATGTAATAAAAGACATAAGGCACATATTAACTTCAGAGATGCTGGTAAGGGGGTTTATGCATTATATTAAGCCAAATAAACATGTGGTGACACATAAATATGAGGTTATTGTGCTGGTGAAGATTCTCAGTCATCCAGGAAATAGTTATTTCAACAAAGTAAAAAAAAAAAAAAGGTAAAAAAACAAACCAATGGACTTTGTTTTCCAAGTTTGTTTACATTTTGGATAAAGAAGACCGGTGGTTTGAAAGGGGCGTGAAGGAAGCCATTTATGTTAAGAGAGAAAAAACAACCTTAAACAGCTGCAGGGGACCAAAATATCTCGCCTGGTCAGCCAGGCCAACAATTACCCTAATGAATCCCTTTCCAGTATCTGGTCTTGCAGGCCAACAACGACCTTAAAAAAATACCCATTACTCAGGGGTGGACCTGTTGTTTCGGGTCAATTTGCATGTTTTCTAAAACATAAGATGGCTTTTGTTTGCGCAACTCTACGTATGAGTCTGGAACTCAAACCCTACTCCAGACATTTTGAATTGAGAAAGCTTCCTGGGTGGGAAACAAAACATCTTCAAACTTGGAAAACAAAGTCCAGTGGTTTGTTTTTTTTACTTTTTTTTCCTCCCAAACTTTGTTGGAATGTGGCTTTTGTATAAGTAGCACAGTTAATGAAGTGACAGATCTGCTATTTGTTGACTGTGTAATACAAAGGCTTTAATATTTTCTGATTTTCCTTACAGTGGTTTCCTCAGCATTGCTGCTGCTATTGGCTTTACTCAGCCTCATGCTGACCAACGTCTGGATGTAAAGCAGTGACTACAGTCTTTCCCTAGGCTGTCATGTTTGCATTGCCTCTTGCTACCACAAAATTATCTATTTCTCACAAATATCAATCAACCAGTAACCACCTTTTCCCCCCAATTTCACATATCAAAAACTGATTTTATAGCCAACTGATTTCAATTGCTGCCCTGTTTAATCACTACCATCTAGGGTAGTGTGTATCCCCTCCTTTGTGAAAACACAATACCATTGTTGGCCTCATATCATTTCTGTGTTGGTTTGCCATCTAGAAAAAAACAAAGCTTGAGCAGAATTTGGATTTAAATGGTGCAATTGTTAAATGGAATAGAGCACATTTTGTTTGGCAGAGATTTGAGTCAGCAAGCGAAAAATTACTACATGTGAGAATAAGCTGGAAGGTGTTTGGTGTTTCTTTGTTTACCGAGGGTGGGCTGCCATATCAGTGTGTATGCTGCCACCTGTTACATTTACAGAGCACTTTTTCCTCTTCCAAACTTGCTTTACAAAAGGCTTACTTAAAAGTTTACATAAACCACTTAAAAAGGGTTGCCTCCATATTTACCTCAAGAAACATTTACTTCAATACTGCAACAATTTTAATGCATTTTAAAAGTCCTTTAGTCATCTGTTTCTCACTTCTTCTGACCAAAACAACTCGCTCTACAAACCCCTCCCTCATCAGATGTGCTGCACTTTTCCATCACCTCATACTGATTAGATGTGTATTTTCCTACAATCAAAGATTTATTTTTTTATGAAGTTCAGGTGCCATATCAGTGTATATGTACTGACTCATACTGTCAGACACTATTGCATTCTCTTCCTTTTGATAGAGATTTATTTCTTTGTGAAATGATAAAATGCTCGACTAATATTTAGTTGCCAGGCCAGTGTGTCTGCATAAGTATTACCTCATAAGCTGTTGAATGTCTTTGCTTGTTCAAATGAAATAAACGTGTAAGCAAAATGAACTGTGGGTGATTTTTTTTTTATGTCAACCTTCTTTTCTCTACCATTTTAGTTCTTTAAACAGGGTTTTAGCTTTTTGAAACAACCACAGTTCCATCTCCAACATTTATATAGTCATGATATAGGTAAGAATTTTTAGATTTTTTTGTTTCTTTTATTCCCCTCCTTGAGTTCTTTCATAATCTATTAGACTTGTATACTATTTTTTTTTTTTTTTGTATTAGCACAAGCTTCAATAATATCATAATTTTACATTTTGTATCTTTTTAGAAATTCGTTATTCAACACTCACAAATTGAAGTATGAGGAAGTTACCATAGAGTGTATTGTTGGTTAAAGGCTAGTCCAGCCAGCCATTAGACAGAATGTTGAGGTTTTATTCTTATACCCCATTAGATTCAGCTACCCAGGAGGCTGCCCTTGCAGATGGTACAGCAACTGAGACTGAGGGAGATATGAGCAGCCACTTTAAAAGTGAGAGAAAAAAGAGAAAGATGAGTGGGATAATCAGCCAGTCTGCTAAAAAGGAAAGGTATGGTGTGAGGAAAAAAAAAAGTCAGTGAAGGATGCAGCCAGGTTATGCAGTAAGTTATCAGATATTGTGTCTAGTGGAGGGGCTAGCTTATCAGCATAAGTGTCCAAAGTACTCACATTCATTACCTAAGTAAAGGTACAAAAGGACTGATAAAAGTAAAAGTACAGATCAAACTTCTTTACTTATGTAAGTAAAAGTAAAAGGTACAGCTTCTTCATTGTACTGAAGTACAAAAGTAAAATTAAGTTTTTGCCTTGAATTATATAAAATAACTTTCAAAATCCTTATTCTTAAAAAGTTTTATGCACAGAAAACAGATACATTTTCATCTTCTGCTCACTGTGTTGGTAGAGAGACCATAAACATACTGTTTTTTTTTCTAAATCAAAATTCCAACAGGATGATATAGATTGAACTGAACAGAATTCCTTTAGAAGTGGTTTAATACTTTTAGAGCTTGTATTCACAGCATTTAAGTTGTAAACAGCATTGGAGGCTGTTCAAATGGTGGTATCTAAATACTAAATCAAATAAGAAGGTATATGAACAAATAAAATAATTCCAAAATTTTGAAGAATAAAAACTTTTCCAAACCAAAACCTTGATGCCATCAGCTGGCTTTCCTGGTTATAAAACCTCAAATCTATTTAAATATATTATAAATTCCCTGTGAATAAAATGAACTTTAATTTAATCCATTGTTTTATGTATTTAGGGTGACATTGAAATTAATCTTATAAATGTTAAGTCTCTTTATGATTGGGCTTAACTAAGAGTACGTTTATGTAAAAATATCAATTTTTTCAGAAAGTGTATTAAGACACCTGGTGAGATATAAACTGAATAGTTATCTATATTTCTGATGCCCTGTTGTCCATTATTTTTTGCCGACCCAAACCTGGATGTGGAACAAATAAAATGTAATGGTTCTCCAGCTTTTATCTGTATTATTTAGTATTTAACAGCTTTTCTGAGCTGCTTTGTACTTCCACTCACTGCTTTAGTTTAACACAAAATCTGCAGATATGGTCAAATCTTACAAAATGATTGTTAATCCACTATAATTCAAATTGTCTCCCTGTGCCCAGCACCAGAAATAGAAGTTTATTCATCCATCTGTCCATCCATCTTCTTCCGCTTATCCGGGGTCGGGTCACGGGGGTAGCAGCTTCATTAGGGAGGCTCCCTCTCCCCAGCCACTTGGGCCAGCTCCTCCGGGGGAAACCCCAAGGCACTCCCAGGCCAGCCGAGAAACATAGTCCCCCCAGCGTGTCCTGGCACACCTCACCAGGGAGGCATCCTAGTCAGACACCCGAGCCACCTCAACTGGCTACTCTCGATGTGGAGCAGCGGCTCTACTCTGAGTCCTTCCCGGATGACTGAGCTCCTCACCTGAAATCTAAGGGAGAGCCCAGAGAAACTACGGAGAAAACTAATTTCAGCCGCTCGCATCAAGGATCTTGTTCTTTCAGTCATGACCAAAAGCTCAAGACCATAGATGAGGGTAGATGGCAAATAGAAGTTTGTAGATCAGATTATTTATTCAAACATTTCTAATTAATTCATACTATATACATACAGATATTACTTTACACATCTAAATATGATTCCAGTAGTATATGTTTTACATGTGCAGTGGTAAAGAGGCGCTAAGGCAGAATATCAATTTCTTATTTGCACAGTGGGAGAGCAAATAGGGAAAAAAATACATATGTGTGCGGCTTTAGAAGATACAAACACATTCTGTAGGAATTATCCAATATGGTAATTGATTGTTTAAAATTATAGTGTCAATAAAATGTGATAAAGACACACTTAACTTTATATTCCAGCATTCATTTATATCTGCTTCCTTTCATTTTAATACAAATAAACACTTTTCATTTGTTTTCAAAAAGTGAAGCTTATCTTCAAATGAAAACAGTAGGTGCAAAAATACTCCCGTTTGACAGCTGATTATGTGGATTTCTGCTGTTCATTGATCTTTTCCTCCCACAGACCAAACTCTGATCGTCAACTGCCAACAGTCATTTCAACATCATCGTTTCTTGATCCGCGTGGATCCCTCCTTCCAGCCGTCCTTCACCTCCTTGACGAAGGTCTCTCGGACCCTCCGTAGGCGGTTGCTCACCTCCTCCAAGTCATCGGGGACTCTACCGGCTTCCTGTCGGACCTGCCGCAAGGTCTGGGACCTCATGACTCGATCCGATGTGTCCCGGCCGATAATCTGAGCTTTGGTGAGGGCGTAGGCTGTTATCTGGGCTGCCCTGCGGATGGGACGAGACTCCGCTAACTTTTCAATGACCTGAAGGTTGTTGATAAGATACACTAACATGCGAGAGAGCATTTTGTCTACTTGGCTGATTCGTCCTCTTCTTTTAACGCTGCAGTGAAACCTGTTTAAATCGGGGAGATACATATTTTTATTTACCGACTAGGTGGTAATTATATAAATGTTTTGATTCATTACATTTAGACATTTTACTTACTTTAGCTTGAACGGGCAATGTTGTATTTACAGTCAAATGACATTTAAAGGGGCGACGGATGTTTGGTAACAAAACAAGGGAAGTCTCTTCTTCTTCTTTTAGATCTCACTGAAGCCTCTTTTCATTGTTACATTACTGCCCCCTGCTGGCTGACTGGGATACTGGAGTTTTTTTTATTTATTTAAGTCATAAACATTTACATGAAAAAATACTCTCAGAGAAGATAGCAAAGTTGTACATGAACAGATAAAGGTCAATTACGATAAAAGAAAAACAAAAATGTAAGACAACTGACAGAGGATTTATCTCAGCAAACATTTAAATCAAACATAGACAGAGCCATAGAAAAAATAAAAAACAAAAAGGTGAATGCACTTAGAATAGCAGATGTTTGGAGAAAGCAAGTCTCAATTTTTTTTGGCATTTTTGTCTTTAAAAAAAAATATTTTTAAGAGAAGAAAAATATGTTTTAAAGTCATTTATAAACCAGTGAAAGGAAGGTTTAGATTTTTTCCATTTAGCACAGTGGATATGATATTTACCCAACAGCAGGAGGACATTAATAGTATAAGAAACAGTCTTGGGAGAATGGTGGGATACTGGAGTTGATCGCAGTAACACCTGTTTAGATTGGGGAGATACATATATTTATTTACTGACTATGTGTCATATACATATGCAACAATTATATCAATGTTTTAATTCGTTATATTTAGACATTTTACGTACTTCAGCTTGGACGGGCAACGTTATATTTACAGGATGTTTGGTAATAAAACAAGGGAAGTCTCTTCTTCTTTTAATTGTTACATTACAGCCCCCTGCTGGCTGACTGGGATACTCGCATCCGAAAACTAGCTACTAAAACACGAGGGTTATTTCGCTTAAAAAATAAAAAATAAAAACATAATAAATATTTTCAAAACTCCTCCCACATTCAATGCAAGGTGAATGCGTTATTACTTGCGTTATTCAACATGTAAACAAGTATGCTCTAAAATTAAAAACAAAATTGTAACAGTCTGTGTACAATGGCACACAGTAAATTTTGCAGTGTTAAAGTAACACTTTAAAAGTGCATTTTGGTCGTGTAACTTCTGCTATCTCTCAACTTATCCACAACAATCCTGCCACTACCATGTTTCATGGTTTAGACTTAGAATTCCTTTATTGTCATTGCACAAAAAAACACAAGGTGAATCTTGACAACGAAATGTCGATTACTTGGCTACCAGTGTAACAGAGCTAAGGCCTTATTCCTGCACAATAAATATGTTTGACAATCTCTTTATAATTTGTTGTCCAAAAATTAATGACACCATTAATATATTCTTCTAGATGGCAAATAAAGACTTTATGAAAGGCATGTTATAAAAGGCTTATGTATAAAGATCTTTACTGCAAGTCTAAAAATTTTAAGAATATAAAACACAATTGTCTTTATGGAGAATACTATGGGGATTTTTTTTTCTTTCTGTAACTTTCTCCTGACTGATACCTTTGTACCGAAATAAATTAAATGTAAGAGCTGTTCTAATTCCAGGGATTTTTTTTTTTGTATTGGAAGTTATCATGAAAATGAACACAAAAACTCTTAATCTGCAACTCCTTGCATCATGAAAACATATTGCACATTATGAGTTTACATTTCTGAATCTAATAACTGCTGCTTTTATTTGTTGAGATGACACTGTGCAGTTTTAACTGACTCCAGAGTGCAAAAAACATTCATGGCTAAAACAGCAGATCGGTATATTTTACAATTTCTTCTTGTGTCTTTAATTTATCTAAATAAATATTTGTATATAATTTTTGATAATAACACTTAAATATATATATATATATATATAAACTATTGTTGTTCTATCTTATTTGAACGGGTCAGTTTCCTCCGGAATGTTTGTCTGGTAACACCCCAAGAAGACCGACATCCGGTCGTTCCATTCATACTTCCGCTTTCCAGAATCGCTTTGGCAGCTTTTCTTTTCACTTAAAAACATACAGATTTTTTTTTCTTTTGGTACTCTGTCGGCGTCCTCACACGGTAATATGACGCGGTTCTTGCTGTTGGTTGTAGTGGCTGCTCTGTCTCTAAGCCCTGCGGCGGTGAGCGGAGCAGACAAGAAGAAGCTGCAGATAGGGATCAAAAAGCGAGTGGACAACTGTCCCATCAAGTCCCGCAAGGGAGACGTGCTAAACATGCACTACACCGGGAAGCTGGAAGATGGCACGGAGTTTGATAGCAGCATCTCCCGGGACAGGCCCTTCACCTTCACCCTGGGCACCGGCCAGGTAATCAAAGGCTGGGATCAGGGTCTGCTCGGCATGTGCGAAGGCGAGAAGAGGAAGCTGGTTATCCCCGCCGAGCTTGGCTACGGAGACCGGGGAGCTCCTCCGAAGATCCCCGGAGGTGCAACGCTCATTTTCGAAGTGGAGCTGCTGAGCATCGAAAGGAGATCGGACCTTTGATGCGGAAAACAATGGACAGGACGACTGCTTTAAGGAAGTTTCTGTCCAAGTATGTTTTATCTGACATTTTCTCATTGCTAACAGATTCATGCTGCTACATGGTGATGCGTCTTAGCCGAATGAATAAGAGTAGTGTTGAAAAAATCAAATCTAAAAAAAAATATTGTTACTTTAAATATTTATACATCTAAAAATGAAAAGTAGAAAATCAAAATAAATGTAACTGTATAAACATGTAAATTGATTTTTTCCATAGATGCACAGTCTGATCGTAACCCAAAGTCTAAATATTTTATTTTGTCTTTCAGGATCCAGGAACTGCTGCTGTAATAAATAGAGACCACCTGACATATGAAGAAGGAGCAAGATCAGGGGAATGAATGTAATCCCAATGAGAGCTTCTATTCTTCTTTTACTGATTTGTTGGTTTTGTTTTTTTTTTTGTTTTTAATAGGGGCTAATGAACTTATTTTGTGAAGGATGAACAAATGATGGCACATTCCTGCAAAGTGATTAGATGAAAAATATTCAGCAGCAAAGATTTTTTCTTTCAAAAGGTGAACAATGACATCACATCCCACCACTTTATCTTTAATTTCTGACTTCAAAGCAGGTTTCTTTACATTTCTACAGTCTTACTTCATGAATATTTTACATTAAACAGTAAATAATACATTTTTCTTTGTCTGTACTACAATAAAATGATTACCTCATTGTTCCCTTTTAAGTGTTTATGGTGATTTCTTTTGTCTAAGCTGCCTCGGGTTTAAGATGTAATAGAAGGAGGCAAAACACTCCTGATTTGTAATTAGAAGTGTTTATACAACACCAGCAATTAAAAAAAGAACGAATACTTTGAAATGCTCTCGTCAGTCCTGGCACAACTCTGTAACACCAGAGACCAACGGAAAATCCTATAAAGTATTATAAAGTGTATCAAATATTGGGGGGGAAATTAAGCCTTTTAAATTTTGACATAACATATTTTATGTTTGCATTCATATGTTTATCTTATAAAATAAAGATTTAAATTAGAAAAATGTATTTCTTAAAATTGCAACATTTATAGGAAAATGATCATTTATGATTGAGGTGCTGCAGCATGCCATTTTTACTGTAACAGTCATGCACACTCCTTTTATTGTAACTCACTAACTAGCTGCAAGACTGGTCATATAGATGGCCTTAATGCAGTGGGTGAATTTTTTTTTTCTGAATTTGAAATTACTTGGCAAAAGCTACTGCCAGTTAAGCGCTTAAAATTTAATCTGTACTCCTATGAATAATTTTACACATTTGATTTTTTTCTGGAATAAATCTTTTTTTTTTTTTTTTTAACAAATCCAAAAACATGGAACACATCCAGGGGGATTTTTGTTTTGTTTTTTACAATACAAACATAAAAAAAAAAAAAAAAAAAACATTTCTATAGCATTAGCATGAGTTTATGGCTTACTTTTAGTCTGCCTTTTATATATAGTAGATAAATATAGCCAAATATCTTTATCGAGAACCTAAAACAGGTAATGATTATAAAATGTCTGTAAATATGAAATTTTTCAAGATTATATGAAATAATTTACTTATTAGTATTCTTTACATTAAAATTCCAAAGAGTCTGTTAGTATCAATAAAAATGTATAAGTTATAATACTCCCTTAGGGTTACATTTTGTATGACATTTCAAAATTAAATTACCTTTTTTTTTTGTCAGGATGATCTTTGCAAAATTCCAGTCTTTGAATACATTTCTTAATGCATTGATATGTGGAATAATTTCCGGGCAACCGGTTCAAGGAAGAGCAGTCAAATTAGGTTAATTTTTGTCTGTTACCAACAGAGGTCGCTGCTCGAACCCACTTGTGCCGGAGCCATTTAACAGATGCACGCGTAAACCGGAAGTTCCGGTAGCTTTTTTGAGCTTTGAAAAGCAGCAGTGCGATTTGTCACGATTTTTCCACAATGTCTGTGAAGTTAAGCGCTTTGACTAGCGATTCATATATTGAAATCAGTCAGTACAGGGACCAACATTTCAAGGTGAGTGAAGAAAAACCTAATGAACAAACAAACGAGATGAATTTTGCTTTCAGTTCTTCTCCAAGTTGACCAGAGCAAAAGCTAACGGTTAAGGCGTTGATTGAGCTCAGCTTTGGCTACTATAAAGCTAATAAGCGCTTATCCGTTTTAGTTTATTTTGACCTGGATTAATCTTTCCCTTTGAACCGTATCGTTATCTATTCATTTACGTGGAAATTCTGGCAAACAAATACTATTATTCATGGAATTATATAAGGCAACAACAGAACAGTTAAGATATTTCTGCTCACAAGTTGTGCTAAACGTACTTAAACTATGTTTTCTTTAATTAAAGCACCTAAAAAGAAACGGTAAATGCTAATATTATTAATAGATTATGTTTGCTCAAACTCATTTTTATAAACTCTTAACTTGCAGCGTTTACTCAATAGTCTTTGTTTATTAAGACAGCATTTCCTTAATGCTAATTATCAGTCATTGATTAACGGGATTGAGGCACAAATCCTGATATTTAACACATCGTTGTTGTTTTTTTGTTTGTTTTTTTTTTTTGTTACCAATTCCTTTTATTCGTTTGGTAGTAAATATAGATCTTTTTCCCTTTTGATAACGAGGCTCAAACGAATTGGAGATAAAAAGTTTTAAACTGTGCCTTCATCCTATATTTTGATGCTGAATTATTAAGGCCTGTCACAATTCATTTTCAAACGGTCTACATAGTTTTTCCTTTTTTTCCACTCCATAGTTTCCACCTCTTGTAATGTAATGAATGATTCCTGAAATAACAAAAAATTAAAACATATTTCATTGATTTATTAAAAACTGTATATAATTAGCTTCTTCCTATTTTCAAAGTATTTAAAAATTAGATTGCTGTTTAGTATATGGCAAGAAAAGATGTATAAAATTCCACTCCTTAAATGCACAAATCTTTGCGAACATAAAATGTACCGGTAAGTCCATTATAATGTTTATTTTATATTCATAGATAAAAAAATAAACATCTATTTAAATTAGCTTTGTGGAAGAGAGATTATTTTTCATTAGAGATGTCTAAGAAGGTGCTAATTAAAGCAACAAAGCCGCTCAGTCTGGGCGTTCTGCTGAGGTGCAATGGTTTGCATGCATGTCCTATCTACAGAGGCCTCGCCGTGGCCGACCCGGGTACGAATCTGGCCTGTGGTCCTTGGCAGCATGTCTCTCCCCCTCTTTTGTACCCCTGTTCTGTCAGCTTATTTTGGAATAAGGAGCCACTAGTGCCACCTCAACCAAAAACGCCCTAGCTGAGGTGCAGTGGTGCAGAACCTAACCAGAAGTAAATACTTATATACCTTGACCCTGTCAAATTTTCTATTTTAATTATTTTTATACTTTTGACATTTATTTTTGCAACACTCTAGACATTCTGTGGATGTATTATTGTTTCTTCTTTTTTATTCTTTATTTTTTCAATAGATCATTACCTTTAAGCAGTGGTGTGCACAGACGTTTTGAAGGACAGGGGCACAATAAAAAAAAAATAAAGCCTATATAGCGCAAACTCCCCACTCTAGGGGGGCACTTAAGCACACCTTTTTGCTCCCATCAATTTACTTTAGGACTAGATTTGGCCGCCTAGTGGTTGGGGCATAGAGCTTGCAATCCTGAGGTTCTGAGTATGAGATCCAATACCACAGACTGTGTCAAAAGGGAGAATTCCGCCCCCTCCCAGTGCACACCACTGCCTAAAGAAGGAAAGATAAATCTTAGAAGGAGTTTTAAGTCTTGGCTGCCTCAGGCAGTTTTTACTCATTTTCACTGTTTCTTATGCATCAGGGGAATCGCTATGAACAGGAAAAGTTGCTGAAGCAGAGCAACACACTTTATGTCGGGAACCTCTCTTTCTACACCACTGAAGAGCAGGTAAGATAAGTTAGAACTGGACATTAAAGTTTGAAGTAAAAGTAACCTAAATATTTAGATTTTTTTTTTTTTTCTTTTTTTTATATGACAATACATGCAAATTGAAAGCTGAAGCTCTGCTGCTTAATTTTCAGATGATAATTTTATTCGTTGCTATTGTTTTTTTTGTTTAGCAACTGTTGACTTACAATATATACAATAGGCATCTAGATTTACAGCTAAACTCTGTTTAATTTGGATTGTGTGGAAGTTGAATAATCAGATCCATGAATTTTTTTTTTACTCTTTTATGCAAACAGGTGCATGAACTGTTCTCAAAGTGTGGCGATGTCAAGCGCATCATCATTGGCCTGGATAAAATCAAGAAGACTGCATGTGGATTCTGTTTTGTGGAGTATCCTTTCACTTGCCTTTTAGAATGCAAAATGCACTGGAAAATCTAAAGTTACATGTCTGAATGGTAAATGAAAACCTTTGTCTGAGGTGAACCTTAGCTGCTGCTGTATCAGATATTACACTCGGGGAGATGCTGAGAATGCCATGCGCTTCGTTAATGGAACAAGGCTGGACGATCGTATCATCAGGACAGACTGGGATGCCGGCTTCAAGGAGGGCAGACAGTATGGTCGTGGCAAATCTGGAGGACAGGTATGAATAAAGGCTTTTTAATGAGTGTTTGAAGTGTCAGCTCTACTTAAATATATATAAAGAAAGCATAATGACCCTGCTAGAATCACGTATTGCATTTTTTAGAAGATTGCTCATGTATTTGCTGGTTTCAGTTTTGACAGGTTTCCATGCCTTTATTTTATAAAGTTTAATCAATAATAAAATGTAGTCTTTAATTCTTTGATGCTTATGCTGATATGTGTTTAAGGCAATATTTCTGTCTTCTGCTGGCAGTCCAGCCCTGCTTTCCTTTTCACTACTTTTTCTGCTTCAAGCTGATATGTGGAGATATCAGCTTGAAGCAGGCTTTAAAATATAGACCTTTAAAATATAGACCTTTTGATTCGTTTTTTTTTTTTTGGTTTGTTTTTTGTTTATCGTCTTTGTTTTAACCCCACCTGTTTTAATTTTGTTTTCTTTGTCTTGTTTTCTATGTGAATTACCATTGGAAACCAGATACCCTGAGTAAAAATGCACATAGCTTTTTATCCTCACTTAATGACATTTGATCTTTCTGTTTTTGGTCAGTTAGGACAGTTAACAATACCTGCATAAATTACATCCTAGAATTATGTTGCTTACATGCAGGTTTTTAGTGCTGGCTAAAAATATATTTTTTTTATACATATTAGGGATGTATAATGGTCAAACATTAACACATTGGTTTTTGTGTTCCTTTTTAACTAATTTGATAGTTGATCTGATGTCTTGAAGTTGCTTCAATATTTCAGCATAATGTTTTTGTCCGACAACACCGTCCATGTGATTATAAATACATTAAAATCCAAACGACATCATTCATCTCCATGAAACCAATCCTGTCTCCTTCTTAAG